CTATTTTATAATATAATAAATGAAATATAAGAGATGGAATCATATCGTGCTCTTATTATTAATAGGTTTCGAGATCAATTTTCTCGTTATTATATAATATGATCATTTAATTTATGAAAGCGTACATGTCTTGCGTTACTCGAAAAATGTATATATATTTGCGCCATTATCAGGATAGATAGCCCGATACTGCGTTCTCGCTTAAAATTTAATTTAGGCTCAAAGCCTTGGCTTTATGTCAGTTCGGCGGTTGTGATTGGTTGGTACCTAAGTTTAAGCTCGTAGGCTTTGGCTCACTCCGAACAGAATATGTATGCGTGTTTTGTGTATGCACGTATAGGCATTTAAGTCGTGCATAGTAAAGCGATGTATAGTAAACCAGGTCACTTCGTCGATGTTCGTAATCCGCCTCCCACAATAAATTTGCGTACACCCGCGCGCGTGATTGTTCAAAACAATGTTGTTTTCGCGTGTGAACGTGCTTGTTGGATCTGACAGAAATACGACTATTCGCGAAAGATTTGTTGAAGCGCGAAATCGCGCTTTAACCTCAATACACTAATACCTGTCAATGTTAAATTGCGAGCGTTGCGGCTTTCTTGTGTATTTTTTAGATGCTATAGAAAATATTAGTCTCCGACAGATTAAACATTTTGAAAAAACAAGCATAATCGCGTAATTTAACGAATTATGCCCCGAATATTGAATTTGCAGAGAGAAAAGGGATGTGTAGTTTAATTATACTACATAACGTAAGTAAATGCGATCAAATTATGTTTACAATAAGCAGATTTAATCACGTTCATCGAACCGTAGTCATCGTTGAAGCGTATTGTCGATGCGACGATGAAAATTACTAGCGCAAGGATGAGAGATATTATATAATCGCTATGTAATGTATTGCGTGAAAATTACACGGTATCCAGTTAACGCTGGTGTAACCCATTTAAAAGATCTCATTGCAGATACTGCGAGGCGATAATGTATGAACAGATTGCTTTTGTTTCTCGCGTACGGTTCATTTTCGCCGCTGTGTATAGTGTTTTAGTACAAGAATTTTCTTCGTGTTTATGTACTATGAATACAAGTCTAATGTTCCACTTCATATTCCTATTGTCCTCGTGTTACTAACTTTATCTCATTTTAAAATACGATCGAATATAATTTCATAAAATCGTGAATCCATTTCTAGTTTCACGAGTCGTGTATTTGCGAAAAGAGATCGCATAGCCAGTAAAAAGAAGAAGTACAAAAGTACGGAAAATAATTTATATTTGATTTATAATCGATTAACATTTACATAATTACAGACGAAAAAGATCGACGCGAATTGAAGCGAATTTAAAGGCATTTAATTTCGCGACGTTGGACACCTAATTTTCAAAATCGTGCATTGATTTTAGTCCATTCGCAAACAAATTCTCACGTTCCCAGGGTTCGTTTGCGGTTTGGTTTTCCGCTTCTGCGGACAATTTGCGTATAATGATCGTAACACACACACCGTGGTCAAAAAGTTGGCCGCACACTCGACGGGAAGGGAGGGGGTAAGGGGTGTCGCGACCGAACGATAATTTATGAAAACGTCACTTTCGACCGCGCGGTCCACCGGCGTCGCGACGCTCTCTCATGGGCGTCGTTAGCGGAGTGCCGTATGTGCCATGTATTTACGCACTAGAGAAATCAATAAACCATGTCCTGGGGAACGGGTTTAGACGAGCGAGACGGTGTCAGACGCCGTCCGTGGCAGACAGAGAGGGCGCGAAAGGGTAAAACTGTGGGGTAACTCGCGTCCTTCGCACGCTATCCAGCTATTAGACAATGCAAACAGTATCATTGCCCTGTGATCGGCAATTTGGATCTCGATACCGTTCCTTTGATGAAACGCCTCGCGATATCTCTATCGCGTCCTTTTTTGCGTAATTATGATGCATTATAGGATACTCCGTTTCTCCTCCTTCGTTTTTTGCTTCAAATCACATTTGTCACTCTCTTATCCGATATCTCTTTTCCGTTTTCACTCGAGAAGAAGTGCATTCGAAAAATTCCACGCGTTTCTACAACTTTACGTCGAGTTTTCATCTTCATAAAATAACAAGATATAAAAAAAAATCATAGTTATCTTGTAATACTAGCGGTTCACAATAATCCGCTGTAAGCGAAACCAAATAGAACATGGATTATACAGTATAGGTATTTATACAACATGTCAACGTGTGAAAACAGAAGATTACGAATTTGCATTCTGAATGAAATGTTCGTCACCAGATGCAAGGAATAACGATCGGATTAAAATACAAACGAAACACGATTCGACAAGCGGATTACGGAGAAACGTAGAAACGTTAAAATGTAAAAAAAAAATCCACGTTTAAAAATTAATATGTATATTACACAGAATATATTTCGTTGCAATATGCAACGCAGGATAATGGTGAGCAGAGGGGGAAACGAATTATTAAGCTTTGACCAAAATTCTCTTATTTGCGAATCATGTGATATGTACGATTATATTACATTTGATCGATAACACATTTGGATTTCGCTGTTTATATTTCACAGAAGTGATTCTCGCATTAATAACTCGTGATTATTAATAACTCTCGTGTAATGAAATTGGCGTGATAGATTTATACAGACATATCTTCGGAGACTTCTGCAAAGACGTAAAGGCGAGAAATGACGGACGAACGAGAAACGATCACCACCTCGTCTCGCGTTATTAGTGCAAAGTTCATCGAGAGCGATGAAGCGTCAGAATTGTTGAGGATCGACGAAGGGTGACTTTAACAGCGGTTCTCTCGTTAAAATGCGAATACTTGACTTAACGTAAAACCATTCGGTTAAGTAAATACGCATCTGGCAAAATGCGAACGCATGATTGGTCGAGGGGAGAAATCAAGACGATTTATGGCAAACATAAAATACGCAAATTTCGTCATTAATACATGATTTGTAAATATATTTAAAGAAGTCTGTTATTTATTACAAATTTTTAATATTTATATAACTTCATATGACACTAAATTAAAATTTTGAGAGAAAGAGGAAATGAAATTTAAAATACAATTTTAAATGCGAGCACCTACGAACGCTTGAAAATCGAATAAATCTATGGCTACATATATCAAAATAAGAGATCACTGTTGTGAAAATAACTCGTCAAAGAGAGAAACTCACGCCCAGATGAAACAACGCGTTTGAACACATTTGAATTTATTTGGAGAGAAAGTAACGACGATTTATATTATACGCAATTTCAAAGCGGAAAAGAATAAGATGGAAAAGAAATTTATAATTAAGAGGAACATGGAAAGGTCAATTATCGCGCAAGAAAAATTTGCGAAAGTCATAAGAAATTCTCTTTCCTACGAGATTTTAAGGCAACGATTCAAGCAGGAGGGATCCCTTTATTGACAGAAACGATCAAACAAAAATGTTTTGCATTTAATTGCGAATCGATTGCGTTTCCAAATTTTTGTCGTGTATCTATCGTGAATCATACCGTGAATTGCGATTGCGAAAGAATCAATGTTGGGTCAAAATCATTTTGGAAAACGCGAACTCACGTCGACGTGCAAGTAATTTTCGCAACTTTCGGATTGTAGATCACGATCGTCGCGAGTTTGCACGATTAAGCATTACGCTGATGGAGATTGCGTCGACAACTTAAAACCTATTAAGTTACCCGCAGATTTAGTTCGAGATCGATCTATTGATGAATCACTGTTGCGAAACAAACTAGAGCCTCACCGAAGATTGATGACGCTCGAGGCGAGACGAGATGCTGGAAATGCGTTGCGTGCATCTGTAGATGAGCGAAAAGACAAACATAGTGCAATGATGACGTCAGTAGGATAAGTAAAAGAAAGAGAGGGAAGGGGAAGAAGGGAAGAGATAGAGGAGTCCAACGAGTAGTATCGCGTAGCTACTTAAAACTTTCGGAGCTTGTCTTGTGTCCTTACTAGTTGGCACCTTGCTTACTTAGCTCAGGTCTGCAACTTACCTTCTCTCGCAGCTTCTCCGTTATTTCCCGTCTCACCCCTCTTTCACCCCTTTCATCCCTTTTCTTCCCACTCGGTGGCTTAAGTCGAAGTTTACCTTTGTTCCTGGCTGTCAGTCCGATATAGTTTCCGGCTACTATCGCCGCTCCACCGTCGGTTGCATCTGCTGCTATGTACACCGCGAAAATTCCGGATTGTAACGATATTAATCCACTTTAGCGGTACATTTGGAAAAGGATGATAATCGGCGAAATCGTCGCGTTCGTTGCGATGGCGAAATTCACGGGTGTCGTCGTCGCGCGACAGAAATTACTTCGGTATTTGGTTTGTAAATTTATGCGATATTCAAATAGACGACCCGCGACTCGCGAGATGGTTTGTATCTTTTTCCAGAGTGGAAATCAACGTGAATGAAGTTCGCGGTGAGAAACTACAGCGAACGAACGATTCTTGTGCCTTTGAAACAAATCATTCAAAGTTGTTACGTTAAATAAAATAACGGCTTTTTTTATAAAATGAAAAGAATGTTATAAAATGGATTCTTTTTAAGTTAAACAGAATCATAAAATATAAGGGTTAGCTCAGATCGATGATTCTCATGTTAAGCTTTTACGATGATGATTTTCTTTTGGTATATTTATATGTATGTATTATAGAAAATATTATTTGAAAAAAATACTTTTATATTTTATATGTTGTCACATTAGAAAGCAAAACTTCTTTTAGAAAACGCTGTTGATAGATTTATTTAATATAAAAGAATATGTATTGATATATCGCAGATTTCATTATTGCTTTTTTTAACATATGAATAGATAAAGTTTATGATATATTGAGAACGAAACGTTTTGGATGAACGTTAAAAGGTTTGCACAAAAATAAAATAAAAAAATTATGCACGCATATAATAACTTACAAATTTTTAAACAAGAAAAACTGTGCACTCGTTGAGAGTAACATATAACATTCACAAATGTTTTTTCCGCTTTTTTGTTTCAGGAAGTATAGATGTTACCGGTGTATTGTGATGCATGCGCAACATGTCAATGTGCTGCAATACAAAGAAAGTAAGATATAGTCACATTTTGAAATCTATGTCTGCTCATATTTTTAAAAGATATTTAGCTTTTCAATCCTTAGAATGTCGTAAAAATTTATTAAATCTCGTTATAATTCTTTATACGTTCTGTAAAATATCATCTTACATTATTTTATCATCTTTTCTTTACTAAAATTGTTCTTAAGGAAAATTAAATTTTTATAGAACAGGCTAAAGACTTTTACCTCATTCTTATCTTTGTATTTTTGTCTTTTTTTCACCATTATTTTTCATTCAGCTTATCTTGATAGTTTTACTCCCTTATATTATAACTTTAATAAATATGTCTTGTCGTATATCCTCATCATCATATTCGCAAGGAATAATCGTAACGTTTTTGCTGTTTTTACTAGCCTATTGCACCGTCTTTTCATCGGAACCGAGTCTGATTACCAAATGCAGCACGTTGACCAGTGACGCCACTCTGATCTCTCTGTTTCGCTCCAATGCAGCGCCGCTGCCCTGTCCCATTAAGGGTCCCTTGGAGTTCACGTACAGCCAGGGTGAGGGCGAATGCAACTGGCCGCGGTCACGGGCGGAAGCGTGCACGCAGGACTCGCGTCTGCTTCTGCGCTATCAAGCGTGCGCCAACGTTCATTCGTCCGAAAGCGTGGGTCAGTATTCTCCTCGTGTCATTACTATCGTGCTGACAAATTCATTTTACACGAACGAGCTAGATATCAGCGGTAGAATCAACATCTTTTTTAATAAAAATATGCAAATTTATGCTTAAATATAAAAGTATATGCATTATTTGAATATTCTAAAAAATATAATTAATAACAATAACAATTTGGAAAATACGATTTAAAATAAGTTAGAAATATGTGGAAATTTCAAATTCGCGGATTATTCTCTGTTTTGTATTATTTTCAGCATAATGCAGGTAATTTGTTATGAAAATTAATCGTTATTAATTAATTCGTTCAATTCTTTTTGAAGGGCATTTTTCTTTTCTTTACTGGATTTTTTAAATATAATACAACATACAATAAATATCACACAATAGATAGGCACCGTACAATAAACACTATGTGTAAAATGATATTGTTATACCAACATGCATTGTGTAATATCCATTTACGCGGCAATTGTGCTTACACCTGTTTACATACGCTCACAATTTGTCAAATGAATACCCAAACAATTATGAATTATGCAACATGGCAGTCCAATCACTGCCTAGTGACATTTTGTTATTGGCCCATAATTAATTCGTTGCAATCTACGATTATAAAGCGCTCGCCGCGAGTATCTCGATATATGGATGCAAATTGCGGAGTGTGTATATCGTGGATGTAAAGTTTCAATTCGTAACTTTATTGTCGTCAAATTTGCTCTCATTTTCGCGTTTCCGCGAGGGATTTGAATATTTAAATTAGTTTAAATTTTTTACATCGACTTTCTATTGCGTTAAAGTGAATTTATCGAAGGAAATAACGCAATAAAAATCCTCGCGGAAAGAGGCAGATTGTCGCGAGCGAAAAATATCGGAGGCTAATTCCGGTGAACGGTAAATCAACGTACGATCGGAATCACCCACGATATAAGTGTCCCACCATAAGCGTCGACTCATCATTGTCGTTAAAACACCGAGTGCAGCGCGTTTCGGTACGTAAAAAGGAATTATGACGTCGCGGCGCTTCCGCGGTGACGTTAACATCCGGCTTGACATTAATTAACACGACGCGCAAGGCCTGTAACGGTCAATAAAGCTCGCGGCTGCGGAATGAATGATTAATGGCCTTGTCAATTACCATTTGTTGCTGGGCTTGTCCAAACGATTTTGCGCAATTATCATCGGCCCGCGCCCTGATCGTCCATCTCGGCTGCGAATAAATGAATACACGGCGCCGACCCGGTATAATGCGTTTTCATCAACATTCATATATCGTTTAGAACTTCTGCAGATAGCTTTGTCCGGGAAATAGTAGTAAACCTCTATTTATGATTTGGTTACTAATAAGCTCGTATAAACAGAATCACGGTCTCGAAATTTCATTCGCTTCGACGATACACTCTCGCTAACCGCGCATAACAGCCAGCTGATGCTTTAACGTATTACAATTTACGCTTTCCCAAGCTATAAACGTATGCCACATATGTCTCAACAGCCGTGTGTATTTTGATGGAATAAAAACAATTGTTATTATTGGATACATGCCAATTTGCAGTTGTGACGGTTTGTTTTTTTAGATGTAGAATTAGAGTGCCTGGCTCATTGGAGGGAGGGTAGCACGAATTACATGGTCGCGCGTTTGAACAGCGATCGTAACGATCGCAAAACAAGCGACGAGGAGAGCTACAGATGCTTTATTTACACAAATCCATCCAACAACACGTGGAATCTCGCGCAGAGCTCGGACGCCGCTTGCAATGGATTGATCAGCGTCACCGAAGCTGCCAGGACATTCAAAATGACGCAAAGTGAGTCTGCTTTCTTACAAAGTTTCTTTCAAAAGTGTTGTTTTTCTTTATGTTTTCTTTCAAAAGTTGTCAAAGTTTTTAAAGAAATGTTTATTTTACGATTTGTTATAAAATCATGCATTATTTTAACATTAATAACACGTATAACCGTTTATTGTTTGATGTATATTCGCATAAAGCGATTTTCTCTTCGGAAAATTCTAAGCTCGAAGAATTGAAAAAATTTTCAATTTCCCATTCTCTCGCTGAAATATCGGGGTTCCTCTGCACGTTGCACGAGCCGACCGTGTTTTGGTGGCCAGCGCGATACAAAAAAATTGAATTAACGATCGAAATTCTGCGGGAAGAGGGCGATTAATCGATAGCGATAGGTGGCGGATCGGCGCGTATAACTCGAAGCTGCCGTACATGTCGAGAGGTCGGCTCCCTGAGAACGAGAGCACGTAAACTATGAGAGTGCCTGCGGACACCAGATCGGATTCTTGTCCGGCATACTATCATAACCCCCTGGCTGGTGGTCAACGCCAGGTACTTGGGGTATTCCACGGCATCACATAGCTACACATAGCCTTGCCAGATTGGGATGATCTTGTAGCAGGATTCATGGTTAACCAAATTGAGGGCAACAGACGAGCACGCTGGTTTGATCGCCGGTCAAACGACGAGTAGTGTACGCATCGAAAGGATCGATATGACCGAATCACATTCATTTTGAGAAAGGACCTCTCGCCGTAATCGAATAACGTTCGTTAAACCGAGGATTTTCTAAGTCCACTCGCGTTGATTTTCCCTCGAAATGAAAATTCTCAAGCTTAAATTGAAATAAATTTCGAATTCCATGATTATCTCATTGTCTTATTCTCATTTATCATATGCATTTGATCGTATGTCGATGAATCTGTGTTATTGAGAAATTACAAAGCTTATTTCGAAATATCGCGACTGTGCTACTCGAGCAAATTCAACTCGAGCGTTAAGTAGCTTAAAAATTTTTCAGCGACGCCCTTGGCACGGCATCGCGGATGTTTCGTTAACCCCCTACCCCGATTCCTCGTTTCCATTTAAACTTTCCAGGAGGCAGATTAACCCCGGGATCTCAAACTACGCCGAGCTTCCCGCACCAAAGTGCCCGCCCATGGATGAAGAGAACGTTACTCGCGTTCCAGCCAACGCGCAATAAATTTTATCTAGCCGATATATAAATATTCACGTGTCTTTATTCTTTCTTGCATTGTTTTTTACACTTGTGTAATTAGTTTTTTAAAAAATTGCATCAACGTGATATGATCGCAACATTGAACAAGATATCCAATGATAATTCATCAAATTGCGTTTTAACCTGTTTCGCTAAGAAAAGAAATTATAAAAGACTATTAGTTTGAAATTACAATTTATACTCATGTTACAGTTTATACTATGTTGCTTTAAAAATCTGCCATGCATTAAGAGACTATCTCGAGAAATATTGTATAGAACATAAGAAGCAGAAGGCCGGAATAAATTTACATAGTAGCAAAAGAAATACCATTATGCGAAAAACCGAGAATATTATTGCACAGTAAATGCATATACATAACTGCAAAATAATAAATATATACATACATATAATTGAAAAATAAATACTAAATTTTTTATAATGTTCTTATATATTTCTGCCTGCCACAGTATTATTAATTTTATTATTTTTTTATCAGGGAATTTTTTTTATTAGAATTGTTTTTAAGATATTCTTATTTTTATGTTTTTCATGTTGCGACTAAATTTTTTATATTAATAAAACAATTGAAAAATTTTCTTTTATTATATAAAACATTCGAGTTTGATATGAACTATTATATTAAATTAAATCAATATGAAAAAATCGCGCAAAGTATTTTCTTCCTTTTTTACATAACAATTTGCAATGGCAATTATTTTGATCGTTGCTGCAGCAATGTTTTCTCTACGAGATATTATTTTCGCTATTTCCGCTAGAGATTGAGGTTGCAGTTTTCAAATAAGCGCTGCCGACATACTGCAGAATTACAATCTTTTCGAGGTAACGTAACAGCATTACGTACGGTCTGACTAAGGAAAAATATAAGGGGATGGGAGTAATTTACTTTGAACAAAGCATACATTTCCTCTTCTATTTCGCCGCAAGCGTGACTCATTTTAATACGCATTTTGTTGCATGCTACGTGCCCACATGTTGCAAAATTGTAGTAGAATATTAAAATAGATCTTTCTTTATACAATTCGAAATTTGGCGTACTAGCATATTGTTGATAATTCGTTCTATCAAACAAAAATCGACTGTATAATCGAGCATTTTATGAAAATAATTTCGTTCGCTATTGCGTTTTATGTAAAGATGCAAAAAGTTAGTTTGCAAGAAGCAAGGGTGCAAAAATAAAAGTTATTCTGCTATTAAGGGCGAATAATTGTACAAATGTAAATGATTATAAGTACAAATGTAAATGATTATAGGTACAAATTTCTTTCTCTGGCAGGAAAGAAATTTTAATCGAATACAAATTAATTTTTTTACATATATATCACAAAAAATTACGCTGAAAATAGTTATATTGTAAGAAACGGGTCGCATAATGAAACAATTAAAGTCCCTGCCGTTTCTTTATCGCCATCGTTATGCCATTTTCTTATCATCGACGACGAAGTACACGATAAGTAGCAATTTTGGCCAACTATAGTGTAACAGCGCACGCACACTCGATTGAATTATCGATTAGCTTTTAGTTGCACGCAGGCTGGATGCGGCGTATGCGGCGTGCACGCAGCATACTTTGTCGCTCGTGCATTTTTAACGGTCCATTAATTCACGGTGCATGGTGATTGATAGCTGTGAGCAACCAACCATTGACATCGGGATAACTGTTCACTGGCGACAGAGCCAACGCGCGTTTATAACAAATTATTTGCTTCAATCCGACCAAGCTTTTCGGCCAACGTCTTCTATAATAATTTTTACGATTTTTTATTTTACGTATGAACAATGTAATTTTAATATTTCAATCAATAATGTCGAGAACAGTGTCGGATTATTATCGCAACAATGCACTGCACTATGCGTTTTAATGCATAACTCGTGTGTCTATGTGTGGTACGTACGTGTGTGTTAATGAAGCTAATGAGTTGGTTAATATACATCACATTTATGTATGATGTATGTTATTCGCATGTAATTATTACGCTAGTTACGAATATAATGCCATTGAAAGCGTATTGCAATTAGCGCAGAATTCGTGAGAGAGATGAAAATCGTCGAATACCGTTCGATTTTTATTTCCTCTGGAATTCTTTGACGGAACGTGCTAGAACCTGATAATGCACAGGAAACAGCCAGCACGCCGAGAAACGAAGTTTACAACGTAGAAGGAAGACAGGTCAAAGTTTACTTATGCTGGATTATCTGCTCGAGGGCCCCGTGAACTTAAAGAGTCGGGAACGAGCGCGCAGTTATATTATGCATTTCGAGTTTGAAATAACTGCGTTAGGAGTTACACAGCGCTCTAAGAATAAAGCCGTGGCTATTTCTTGACACGTAATTACATTCGAATTTAACAGTCGTCCGAATTTGCAACGTGGAGATGAAAATTGCAGGAATTAAACTGTTGGCGTTGCGGCGATAATCAACTTTGCAATTTTGTTTTGTCGTGTTTCAGCGCTTTGAAAATGCCAAAATATTTTCAATAATTGCGAGCACCAATGAAAGAGAAAAATTCCTAGAATTCTGCTTAAATTACATCACTCGTTCAATTCTCCTCCGTCCTACCGTAATTGTTTTTGCGCTTTCAAATTTTCATTTGCATAGCTGTGAAATGAAGATGGATATTCAAGGAGATATCTCTCTACGATAATACCTTGAATAATCAGAAATAATTTCGGCTCGATGTTTTAACCCGGGGAAAATATCACAAACGCGAAATTTGTGTCGCAGAGAGAAAACCTCTTCGACGACAAACGCAGATCCACTCTCACCACGGCCATCTTTTCACGTTACAGAAAAGCCACCGCAGCGTTGCACGTATCCGTCCTGGGTGGTGGCCGGTAAATCGTGGGTGGCTTTGGATCGAATGGCGTCCCGTCTCTTGGCGTCGCCTTACAACCTCACGATCCTCGACCGAAACGAGACCCGCCTTGTTTGCCATTCAGTTGTCGCCATTGATGATCATCGTCATCATTATTCCATGTCAATCGATAAGGAGAACCAAAAGCAATTCATCGCGAAGGCGACGCGAGATTGGTAAGTCTATCCCTATTATATCTATGAATATAGGGGGAAAAAGATACCGAGATAATAAACCAATATATTCCCAGAAATAAAAATATGAAAAATATTCTAGATAAATTTTATCCTCCCCTTTTTCGTTTTCCGCGAGTTTAAAAAAAAATATATTATTGAAACCTCTATATTATTCGAAAAGCAAAGAAAAGAAACACGTTCGTTATCAGGGATAAGTGTGCAGTTTGTAATAACGAGCATAATTATCAGAACAGCAATATAATAATCCTGAGCAAAGTTGTGTACATGTAAATAAATATCCATGAACATGGAGAACCTCTACTTTGGTCTATCCGGCATTCTACCTCTTCTCGGTATATATTGGAATGTCAATATAGGTCCATAGGTACTCTCATTAAAGCATTCGTGCGGGCGAGTTCGCGCGACGTGACGTATCGCTTTTAATCGTTCGTATACATGTACAAGAGGCCCGGATTATTCGCGCCCCACTGCCGTCGAGAATACGATTCATCGTTAAAAGCTGGGATAAAAGTGCTTATTGGAACGTGTGTTTGCCGGACATGTCCGCGGGAACAGCGTTAAAGTGTTTACTACTCGTCGTGGCGAACACAGAAGAATCGGCCCAGAAAACGCGCCAAGGCTGATTTGCTTTTTTTTTTCTCTCTCCCTCTTTCTCTTTGCCCGTCCATTCCGTAAAGCTGTGAAGCGTGTCCAAACATCCGTTGTTTGCCGAGCGAAGATAAATTTCTTACTTCGTTTCCATTGTGAGATTCTACGGGGACGATTGAAAAAAGGAATTTTCTTGATTACGATAGAGAGAGAGAGAGAGGTTTTATAAACACTTGGCTATGCAGAATTGAAGACAGGTTTAAACGACGACGAGTTCCTGGGCCTACTTGGAATATTTATTGCATTCAATGTTCAATTTGAAATTGTTAGTTGGATGCAATGAATATCTAAATTATAGTAAAGATAAATAAAATAAAATACAGACTCGAAGAGTACATTCGATGAAATATATAACTATATCCAACAGAAGGAGAGACATACTGTGCCCTCTTCATTTATCTATCCTGAAGAAATTCGATCGAGCATAACTTCTCAGCGATTAATATCCTCACTTGGGAAGGTTCCGAGAATAATGTCGCGGTACGGATGCGACAGCTGCTCGAAGAATTCCTTTACTTGGATATGACGATATTAAGATGACGCGGAGTGGAAGAGAGAAGCGAGGGAAGAAAGAATTACTTTTCTCTGACATTAAACTGCGTCTGATCGGGCGCAGAGCTTTACTACTTGGATGGCTCGCAAATAGGGTCATTTCGATTCACATTTTAATATCTTGTAATTCTTGTTTCTCATGTATAAATAACAGCATCAAAGCAATGTTTATGCTAAAGTATTATACTTATGAGATTAAGAATTGAAGACTAACTTCCGAGTTATTTAACGTGTGTTGAAATTGGAAATTATGAGATATCGTTATTTCAAACATCTTGTTAAACAAAATTTCAATTTATGAAATTTATCACACGCGATTGTCGTCTTCTTGGTAAGCATTCTCAAAAATCTTACATTTCTTTTTTCATCTCGAGAAGATTTATTTTTTTACGTCGCATACCGACAAATGCCAACAATAAAAAGCGACGTGCCATTTCTCCCGGCTGACTTACATCTTATTTCTCGCGGTCGACGTTCTTCGTTCCAAGAGGTTTTTATTATCCTCTTTAAAATTCTTTCAGCCTGATACGCGGCGAATAATTATTGCGAAGGACGGAGGACACTGATGTTAAGCGTTTACTATTCTACGAAGTCGCGAGATTTTAAAGCGCACGAAGAAAAAAAATGTAAAATTCTCTCTTCTAGATTTATACATCCTTTTCGACACCATCTAAAAATTCATCTTGCATCGGTTTTCGAATTAAGTGTTGTTTCATAATGTCAGTTAGCGTGAACAACTCGGGCTTGGTTTTGTTACGTTTTGTCGTTAAGTTTCCACAAGAATACAGAGAGTTTCATAGCTTCATTGTCATCTTTCATCGACTATAACCGTACGCTTCCATTATTCGCGGAAGAAGACAAACGTTGATTCCGACATTTCTCGACATGCGCGAAGAAACCTCTTACGCATTTTTCTCGTCCGCGATTCAGTTTGCAAAAATTGAAGTGACGATATAATGAATCGGCGATGTCGACCTCATCAATATTTTTTATTTCTTTTCGCCAACGACAGAAATTCTTGAAATCGATGTCGAGTGATGAACAATAATTACAGTTAATCGTTTCTACGAACGTAGCGATATCGCACTGATACAAGCACCTATGTCATAATCAAAATGTCTAAATGATGTCGGACAAAGAAATAAGCGCATGACACGACTGCTGACATTATGCCAGGGAAATAACCTACAATCTTCCCATCCATCGATCGCTATTTCTGTGCCTTGCACGGAACAATCAGCCGAGCTTATATCGCATATATTCACGTAAGTGCAAAAGTGCCGCAGACATTACGCCGCTCGGGTATAATATTATGGTAATAAAAATGTGATGAATATGAGCATATAAATTTTTCATTATTTGATGGGCGAAACTAACGAGGATGTATACATTTTTCATGGGATGATAAATAACGAACGGTTTCAAATTATTACAGGACAAAATAAATGAATTACTATTAATAAATTATCGAGATTAATTTTATAGAGATTACGTTTAACATTGAAATTTTGCAAAATTTGGACAGAATGTCATTTTCGAGTTGCTCGCGAATTTTCGTTTGACGCCTGCTTCTACCGTACTTATACGGTATGTAAGTGTTCACCGACAGAATTCTCCTTATTTCGCGAAATCTTCCCCACGCTGCTCTTCCCTACGCGCTTTAATATACCCGCGATTACGCGCCAGCTCGCGACTTTATGAGAAACTCTGTCCGGGTCCCGCATTTCCCTGCTATGCGCGACGAGAAGATGAAGAGGGAGGCTGCAGCGAAGACGGGGGGTCGAAGGAGGCAGGGATATTCTTTTATATCAGGCAAGCACAGATTTCGCGAATTCATATTTTCGTGACGATTGCGGAAAGAGGAACGTAAAGAAAAGCGGCTCGTCATCGAAGATTGATTATTTATAATGTGACAATATATGTCATTGATAATTCTCATTTCTCTGACACAAAATAGTAAAATTATAATTCTTAATAATTGCATAAGAAAAATATCGATATAATGATGTATCTAATTTGAAAAACTATCATTTTATTATCTTAACAAGGATACACAAAACTTACAATTAACGACATAATACCTTGAATGTCAAAAGTATAGTCAGCGAAACGGTGTAAGAGAATTTTACTAAAGTGCTCGGAGATTTTGCTTTTCTTATTTTGATGTAACCTTTGCAAGAACGTCAGTTTGAAGAATGAAACTCTTGAGAGCGGTAATCGCGCTGACTGCTACAAGATTGAATATTTTGCGCCGATACTTCACACCGACGTCTGACACCATGACAGCTCTCGGCCGAACGGGGAACGTTAGCAAGGACTCGGTATTTCAATTAAGGCCAAAGCCTCGACCCGAAGTAATTAGAAGCGAGTGGAGGAGTAAACGCGAGCGCGGGGCAAGACGATCGTGCATTAAACTGTAAATCTGAGAGCACTTATCGCGACCACCCTGGAATTGCATAGATAACCGGGAAGGGAGCGGGCACGAATCTTTCCTTGGAACCGACTCGAAATCGCAGCGAAAGTGAAAGAGAATCACGGAAATTAAGACGAATTCAAAATGTCTGTTACAATCTTGAAATTATGAAACAGCTGTTGATTGATATTTCGTTTCGATATCTTGAGCAGTTTGACATTTCTTTTAATTGTAAAATAAAATTCAATTTTTGTACTGAATTATATATAAGATAAACAAATAAAATATTGTATAAATAGAGAATCAAACACAGCCATTCTCAGGTACTATTTATTTCCATTTTTTTTTTGTATCTATCCTTTTGACAGAATAAAACTGTGTCAAAATGTTCACGTGTGGATTTTACAAAGCATTTGTTCGGATAATTTCAAGTAGTTCCGATTCAGCGAGAAACTATATCGTATATGCAGATATACTTTCACTTGTGCGCGGGCAAGTTATATCTGTCTGTATGTTTACATGTACTGGTAACGATTTATGTGCATCTCGAGCAGAGCGTTTGCATTGATCGCAACGATGCACCCGGGACACGCGAAATAACGAGTCGTTTCTACAACGAATCACTATTCTGTAAAAGAGTATAGGATTGTGTATAGTTGAAAAAAAACAAATATTTTGAATACACATATGACCGGAATTACGGAAAATAGAATAGAATTTGGGAGTTTAAATTGAAAAGAGATTTGAATTATCAGTATTTTTTTTTATTACGTTCGCATATTTTCCCTTTTTGAGAAATAACGAGCTTGACGAGCTTGAATATGACGCGCATTCCGATAATGATTTTATATTTCACATATATACAATTATACATGTGCATCTATTAAATTCAAAAATACTTAATTACGAGAAAAATTAATGACAGTGGATTTCTGCAAAACATGTTGATCTTTTATTAATTTCCAAAGTAGATTATTTGCGATTATGAAATGTTTAGCGTTGTCATGATAAATGAAATTGTCACGTCTGTTCTTCTTCCTCTTTTAATTCTTCTTGTAATTATTTTCTTGTCGATTTATAACCAGATGTTATTCGCGGTTTACAGATCGATTAAAATGTCAGCCATAAGTATTCTTCGTGGACATCGTGAAAAATGGCTTCCTATCACGAAAGTCTCGTGTATATAACGATAGGGGACGCGATACCAACTCTGATAAATCATTGTAAATTCATATCTTTTTTTTCTCTCCGCTATTCCACTCTGTGTTCGAAAGCTACGTCTTACGGAGACTCGTCTGTCGTTTCTGTTCCGACCTGTCTCGAACGGAGTTCGCGATATTTATTGCCCAATCGAGTCGCGCGCCGT